CATAGTTATAAAGCTATTTCCCAGCACCCTCAAGAAAAGCCTTACTCTCTAAATATTCTTGAAAGTCTCTGGTAATAGAAAATTAGTTAATTTTACCTGTTCAGCCAGTTGACACAAATCCAAGATTGAGTAATAAAGCACGTATGTCAGAGGCATTTGAACCAGAGCACTTCCACCTTGAACTGGGGCTGGGTAAAATAAGGCTGAGACCTGTTGGGCTGCATTTCCAGAAGGCGAGGCATTCTTATGACAGAATGAGATAGGACGTTGGCAGGACTGGTATCACAAGATACAGGTCAAAGATCCTGCCGATAAAACAGGATGCAGTAAAGAAGATGGCCAAAACCCAACAAATCCAAGATGGCGATGAAAAAGTGACCTCTGGTCACCCTCACTGGTCATTATATGTGAATTATAATGCATTAGCGTGCCAAAAGACACTCCTACCAGGACCATGACAGTTTACAGGTGCCATGGCAACATCTGGAAGTTACCCTATATGGTCTGAAAAGGGAGGGACCCTCAGTTCTGGGAACTGCCTGCCCCTTCCCCAGAAAACTCATAAATAATTCACCCCTTGTTTAACATATAATCAAAAATCAACTGTACGTCTACTCAGTCGAGCAGCCCATGCCACTGCTCTGCCTCTGGAGTAGCCATTCTCTGGTTTCTTTACTTCTCTAACAAACTTGCTTTCACTTTACTCTACGGACTTGCCCTGAATCCTTTCTTGCACAAGGTCCAAGAATCCTCTCTTGGGGTCTAGATTAGGACCCCTTTCCAGTAACAGATAGTCTCATCAATAAACAATGTAGATAGATACAAACAGAAGAGGCTCAAATGAAAGCTCTCTTGGCCTTCATTATGAAGTAAGAAAACAAGGATGAATGGGGACCCCACCAAACTCATGACAAGGTAGGGAGGGTCTGTTCTTTCTTTCCCCCACCTACTTACCTATCACCTACCTACCAACCTACCTCTTGTATACGCAGGTCAAGCACATCTAGAGGCCAGCAGCCCCACTTGGCAGGGGCATCTATAATAGATGCTGAGATGCCAGGTATGTCGAAAATCTCACTGCTTGTCTCTCTCCCTCCCCACCTTCTGGGTCAGAGCTAATTTCCTGTAACTTGAGACTTTAAACCCTGTTAAATGCTAAATACTGCCGAGAAAAGTGATGTTATTTTTCAGAAACAGACATTTGAAGCATAATTAAGGCCAGATATCTCCCTTGGAATAGGTTTTAGCTGGGCGACGAGGAGGGAGGCGCGCGCACTGGGGGTGCCTGAGACAAGTTGGGAGACTGGATCTGCGAGGCAGGAGTCACAGGAGCAGTGCTCAGCTTCCACACTGCCTCCTTCTCTGCATTTCTGCTTCTAAGGGTGGGCCCCTGCAAGTCTTGCCCACATGTGTTTTCTAAGTTCTCTTGTTTTTGTAATAAAAAGCAGAGAAAACTTCTGCCCATAGAATACCACTCTGACGCAGAATGATATTTTGGTTGGCAGAGACTTTTGCAGACACCAACCAGACACAGCCAACTGGTTCGCCGGGTCACCCTTTGAGGCTCCCATACTCAACGGCAAGGCTCCCAGCAAGCATTTTGATGTAAGGGAATAGTGAGATTGTCTATTTGCATCTTCAAATACAATTAATAAATTATTCAATAGAGACAAGGCATCGAACCTACTCAAAATATAATCTGACCTAAGATTTTCAGAGTGATAGATCTTTAAAGGCAAATGAAATTTAAACACAAAATCTCTTGGGAGATTTTATACAAAATAATCATCAATACAAAAATAAGTATCACCCTTTTGCAACCATCACAGCAACAATGATTCATGCAAGAATCATGGAAAGAATCTAAAACCATTAGGTAAAAGTTTGATGATGATAGTTTCACGGTCTCAGATTATCACCTCACAATATATACATATATATTCACTACAAAGAAGAAATCGTAACTTCTCAAAGAAAACCTGGCAGATACCGCCTTAACTGAATGACCAAAATTAATATCACTAATAATGAAACAAACGGACATCACGGGCCCCCTGATGTAATGCACTGTGGAGCAAAAAAAATCAAAAAACAAAACCAAATAAATGCTAAACAAACACTTCACCAAACAACTAGCTTACACTCTGAAAAATGTCATTATTGTCAAAGATAAAAGAAGGCTAAGAAACCCTTTCAGATTAAATGTGACAAAAGACATGACACCAACATGCCGTGAGTGATTTTTTTTTTTTTCTCTAAAAAGTGCTGGATTGGAAAAACAGTGCTATAAGAGACATTATTGCGACAATTAGAAAAACAAATAGGGCCAGGCACAGTGGCTCATCCCTGTAATCCCAGCACTCTGAGAGGCCAGGCGGGCAGGCCATTTGAGGTCAGGAGTTCGAGACCAGTCTGACCAACATGGTGAAACACCTTCTCTACTAAAATACAAAAAAAAATTAGCTAGGTGTGGTGGCGGCTGCTTATAATCTCAGCTACTCAAAGAGGCTGAAGCAGAATAGCTTGAACCCAAGAGGTGGAGGTTGCAGTGAGCCGAGATGACGCCAGTGCACTCCAGCCTGGGCGACAAAGCGATACTCCCTCTCAAAAAACAAAAAAACAAACAAAAAAAGAGAAAATAAAATAAAAAGAAAAACTTGAATAGAAACTGCATATTAGAAAAAGTTATTAAGTTTCCTGTATTTGGTCATTATACTATATTATTCTGTAACAGAATGTTGTCCTTAGGAAATATTTGCTTAAGCATTTAGGGGTGACAGTCGTGATGTCTACCATTTATTCTCAAACAGGCCAGCAGTAATAATAATTAGTGGTGGTGGTGGTGGTGTGTGTGTGTGCGCATGAGAGAGAGACAGAGAGAAAGCTCAGGAGTGTGCAAATGTCAACAACTGGTGGCCTACGTGAAGATTACATGAACATTCACTGCACAATTCTCAATCCTTGAAACTTTACTGTAAGTTTAAATTTATTTTATTACTTTTTTCTTTTGAGATGGGGTCTTGTTCTGTCACCCAAGCATGATCACAGCTCACTGCAACCTTAACTTCCTGGGCTCAGGGGACCCACCTGCCTCAGCCTCCCGAGTAGCTGGGACTACAGGTGGGCACCACCACACCTGGCTAATTTTGGGGGGCTGGGGGCAGGGGCGTGGTGTGGATCAGAGACGGTCTTACTATGTTGCCCAGGCTGATCTCAAACTCCTGGCCTCAAGTGATCCTCCCACTTCAGCCTCCCAAAGTGCTGGAATTACAGGCCTGAGCCACTGCACCCAGCCATAAAAATTTTTAAAAGACAGTGTTTTTAAGTTAAAAGCAAAGGGTAGCATAGTTTTCAAAAGCCATTAACAGAGAAATAAAGGACAAAATGTTTTTAAACTTTCAAATTGTTTAGAAGCACATTAAGTTTGAACCACTTAAAATTACAGAGGCAAGATGACAATATTACAAAAGAGGACAGTGGGTGTGTGTTTGAATTTTTTCGTTAACCTCAGAGGAGGCCATCAGTCTCTCTCGGCCCCAAGAGCCATGCCACATTTTACTAAGTAAAGGATATAAACACGGAAAGAATGACTCTCCACAACTGAGGGGAAGAAGTACTACCCAGCCTAACTAAGGTTAGTACAAATTTGGTGAGTCACTTCCTCTTAGGAGGAAGAGCAAACATTTCTTGTTTCCTGAAGGATTCAGAGATTCTGAGGGAACACCTGAGCTCTCAGCCTGAATCATGCTACATAAGTAATAAACTAGGGCAGGAAAAGCTACGGCCCATTCACTCGATGCTTCTAGCCCTACCACAGTACCTCCAAGTTCAAAGTCAATGTCAACTTGAGTCTTTTTTGTCTATTTCAGCCTCCACATTGCCAGGTTCCTGGGAAGAGGCAAGGTAAGCAAAACAAAAAAAAGTTGATGGATGTGCACAGTTATCCTCGCACCGTGAGTGGGCAGTGGCCTTGGTTTGCTGTGGGACATTACCCGCAATGTTCCTCAGTCCAGAACCAAACCCACAAAGCCTCTTAAGTTTAGAATTATAGCTTTCTGGCAAAGCAGCCCTCCTCCCTGAACCGCCTGTGCCAACAGCACACACACGTGGATGGATTAGGCAAAGCTGTGCTCTAAAGCACACACACGCTCTCCCCAACGTGTGCTTTGCATTCCAGAAATACTTGATGCCTAAACCACTTCTATGCCTCCCTTGGCATGAACGTACAAGTGGCTCCATGCCAAAGGAAGCGTCTGTTTAGAGATGCGGACTTTCTTTAAATTTAACACGGAAGATCACAAATAGAACATTCTAGCATAATGATGATGCAATAAAGTAGAAAAAGAAAAGGTTTTAGAAAAAAGATTCTCTTTGTTTTTTGTCTTATTTATGTTGCCTAAAAGAAATACTGAAAACATAACATGAAACATAAAATTAGCTTCTATGAAAGTAGAAATTACAGGGCCCAAGTTGGGTCAAGGAAGCAAAAACATTTCCTTTAACAGGAAAGGCTAGGGATCATTTGCCATTTTTTTACACACACGTTCATTGCTGTTTTAAGGTCACCTACCAAAATGAGGTGCAGAAGATGGGTTTTTAATCATTGGTTTATTCTGGAACATAGTACATTTTATTTTTGTATCTTGCTTCTTGATAACTTTTATCCTATATTAAAAATTAATGTAAAAGATGAAAATCCATCTTGGTTAATGCACCTATCCTTTCCCTTTCTCTTTTATTTCCGGAGATTTATTTAGGGTGTATTCACAATAGGCAGTGTAAAATCAGTAACGCTTCACAAAATCCTTAGACATCACCAACTGCATTACAAAACACATTCTTAGCCACCTAGATACATACACATGCATGCAACATGTTAAGGAAAATGACATCCAAGTCCATAGTACATACGCACACGATCGCCTGTTTGATTTCCGTCAGCATGGACCTAAAAGACACCTTCTTGGAAAGTGATCCTGGGCAGAGGGAGAAAGACTTACTTTCTTTCCACTTCTGGTGTTGACACGGCGCTACAGAAGCCAAGCGACTCCTACGAGAGAAGATTCGTATAGTCAGTGTGGTCAGAACAGCAGGCTTCATCTGATTTGTACAGAGTGTCACTTAAAAAAAAAAAAAAAAGGCAGAAGCAAAACTAGATGATTAAAGTCATTGTGCTTACTTCGATCTGGGACCGCAGCTGAAGTGACGTGGGGCTAGCGTCGGGTTTCTCCTAAAACAGAACAGATGCCGGTTTAACGGGACTTCCAAACATGTCACACACGAGAAAGACAAATAGACATGTAAGAAGAGAGGGGAGGATTCGGGAAAGGTTAGGGTATAGAGTGGGAGGAGATGGCAGAGATAAGAAGATTTTCTGGGAAAACTAAATACTTTTAAAATGAGAGCTCTGGCCCCCTAAGATTGAACTATTTTCCAAACTTTGCCGCCAGACTCTGCTGACAATTTTATTGCAGAAGAAAAAAAAAGCACCTTTTCAGTCAAGGGGACTGATAGTTCATGGTGAAATAATTCTGTGGATATACTTAGTCGGTCACTAGGACACTGAATTTACTGCCACCCATTTGAGTTTAGCTGTTTTCTAAAGACACTAGAGTTCCAATCCAATTTTTTTTTTTTTTTTTTTTTTGAGACGGAGTCTAGCTCCGTCACCAGGCTGGATGCTGGAGTGCAGTAGCGCGACCTCAGCTCACTGCAACCTCCGCCTTCTGGGTTCGAACGATTCTCCTGCCTTAGCTTCCCGGGGAAGCTGGGATTACAGGCAGGCGCCACCATGCTTAGCTCATTTTTGTATTTTTAGTAGAGACGGGATTTCACCATGTTAGCCAGGATGGTCTCGATCTCTTGACCTTGTGATCTGCCCGCCTCGGCTTCCCAAAGTGCTGGGATTACAGGCATGAGCCACCGCACCCAGCCCCAATCCAATTTTAAAGTTCTAAACGTATTCAGAGTACTTAGTAGCTTAGGAGAAGTTGTTAATGTCTTTAGGAAGTTGGGAAGCTAACTGAATGTTATCTTGCAGCCTTAAAAATCACTATACTTCCCTAACACAAATGAACTGACCTATCTGGAAATTTAAAAACAAACACTCTTGGTATTGATTTGATAAATGAAATATAAATACTTGATATTAAGATGCACTGAGGCTGGCACGGTGACTCACACCTGTAATCCCAACACTTTGGGAGGCTGAGGTAGGTGGATCACGAGGTCAGGAGATCGAGACCATTCTGGTCAACGTGGTGAAACCCCGTCTCTACTAAAAATACAAAAAAAAAAAAAAAAAAAAAAATCAGCCAGGTATGGTGGCATGTGCCTGTAGTCCCAGCTACTCGGGAGGCTGAGACAGAAGAATGGCATGAACCCAGGAGGCAGAGCTTGCAGTGAGCACAGATCGCTCCACTGCACTCCAGCCTGGGTAACAGAAAGAGACTCCGTCTCAAAAAAAAAAAAAAAAGAATATCATCAAATCGTGAGAGGCAGAAGAATCAAAGAATATTATAGATAAAACCATATACTATAATGCCCTCATTTCATAGTTCAAGGAGGCTGCATCTCCTTTGAAAGTAAGATAATGAAGAGGGATAAACAAATTACCTGCGATAAAACTAATTATACAAATTATGCATTTTCACATGCATCTAATTGTTCAATTGTCCTTTTCACCATTAACACAATTATAAAACTACACCAATACTGAAAAACTTTTGTTGAAGTATAAAAGTAGCAATAAAGTATGAAAATAAGTATAACTCAGAGCAAAGTTATACTTTTAAATAAGGAACAGGAATCCAGTATGAATATAGAGTATCAAAATGAATGCGCTTTCATGCAGGATTGTGGAGGAGTGTTCCGGGAATCTGTTGCTCAACAACGTGCATGTGGCTGACAATACTGCACCGCACACTTGGGGAAACTGTTGGGAGTGTGAATTTTACGTTATGTGGGTTCTTTTTTTTGTTTGTTTTGTTTTGCTTTTTTGCCACAATGAAAAAAAGAAGAAAGAATGTGCTGGGATGAGTACATCTGAGAATGGGATGATTGTTGACAAGCAGCCAGAAAGAGAAATGGGATTTAATGGACAAGAATTTAATGAACTGGCAACTCACTCATCCCCTAATCTCAGGCCCTTGTTTGTTATAAAAAGATATCACAGTGGAGTAAAAGCTCCACAGAACTCTCATTAACATCCTCCTGGTTTTTACTGCCACTGTTGTTCATAACAGACATATTTCTGTACCAAATTTGATACACCATTCTACCAAAAAGTATATGGACAATATTCCAAGTGTGAATGGTAGGATGTCAGGCTCAGACACCGTTAACAAAGGGGATACATACTTTTGTACATTTCTGGTGCTTACACACCAACCACAATTTCCCAGGACCTAACCTTTCAGTCTCACATAGAGAAATTTACAAATTTAAACAGCAGGAGGTAAGCAAAAGTATCATCAGTGATTTTTTAATCCCACATCTTCCTTTCTATTCAGGAGTTGGTACAAAGAACTCAGAGTGATGATGAAACAAAACTGTTAGTTCCTCTGAAATTTTCTCTGAAATTGCCCCTTTAACACCCAATTGCAGCCAATGACCTTCTAAAACCACCAGCAAAAGTGACTGGTTCAGTTCACCTCCACTCCTCCATTTTTACCTTTTCTTCAAGCTGTTCATTTCTACCTCACTAGTAATAGTCATGCTAGGAAACGATCTTCTTTTGTTATAACCATTTATCTGCATTTTTAAAATAGATTTTATTTGCTAAGTGCATCATTTGCCATGTCATATCACAAATGTAACGTATATGGTGTGTATGTATGTTGTGGTATGTATGTTACAAATGTAACATATATGGCAAAACGTACCTGTCCCTGAATATACAAAGTAGTTGCTTATTAACAACCGTATTAAATGTTTGATGATAAGGAAGCAAAATTTTAATCATTTCATCTTAGCATGTTCATTTGTTACTTAAAATAGGCATTTGATTCTTTTAGCTATTTAAACAATTTTTTTTTTAAAGAAACAGGGTCTTGCTATGTTGCCCACGCTGGAGTGTAGTGGCTATTCACGGGCGTGATCATCACGCACTGCCACCTTATGCCCAGAGCTCAAGCCATTCCTCAGCCTCCCAGGTGGCTAGAACTATAGTTCATGACCATGCCTAGCTTGTTTAGCTACTTTTCAGAAAATTGATTGGGGCTATAGTTTGACATATAATGTTAAAATCATGGAGACAGGTAATGTTTTCATGCAGAACATTTGTTTTATCAAGGGCAGCTTACTGATGTTGAACAGGAGATCTTGTATAGTGATATTTCTAGTGACTTATTTTTTTCAAGACCAAGCAAGAGAATAATTTTTTCAGGATGTCTTATTAATTTTATCCCCCAAGGATAAGAGATTATAGTCATCATTTAGACGCATGTCTTACAGCAAACACATTCTAAAGTAAAAATATTGCACAACTGAGGAGAAGCTTGTAAAATTATCCACTAAGTTAAGGACCTATGAATGCTTGGAGAGAGAAAAATGGAATAAACTATTGGCAAAATTCCATTATCATAACACTGATGAGTGTCACATGATGTCAATGACAAAAGTGCCGAAGAGTAATTACTATAATGTGCCATGTGCCATGCACCTGACTGCTCAGCCACGACCCCTTTATTCAGAGAACAGCTGATGGTTTACAATACAGCTCCTGATCTGGATGTCTTAATGTAGACAGAAATAGTAAACATTGTGAACCTCATCAAAACAGTCATTGAGTATATGTGTAAATATGTGTAACTGCTGGGCGTGTTGTAAAAAGAAAGGATCACTGAGAAATAAGACCCTTCTCTCCTCCCCCAACATACGCCAACTGTTTCAGTTACTACTGCCATGTAACAAATCATCCCAAATGTAATGGCATAAACCAACAAGCATCTTATGATCTTCACAGGTTCTGTGACTATGAATTCAGAAAGACAACAGCAGAAAAGGCTTGCTCTGCTCCACAGTGTTTGGAGCCTCTGCTGGGAACATGCAAAAGCTGGGGACGACTTGATGGGTGGGCCGTAATCACTGGAAAGCTTGCTCACTCCCATGTCTGGAAGTCAATGCTAGGGCTGCATGGGTTGCTGAGGCTTCCTCACAGCAGGATGCTGGGTTGTAAGAGTAAGCATATGGAGAAAGGCAGGCAGCAGCTGTATTGCCCCTTTGGTATTTTGGGGTTATTTTTATTTTTTTATTTTTTGAGACAGCATCTCATTCTGTTGCCCAGGCTGGAATTCAGTGGCGAGGTCATGGCTCATTGCAGCCTTGACCTTCCAGGCTCAAAGGATCCTCCCACCTCAGCCTCCCAGGTAGCTGGGACTACAGGCGTATGCCACCATGCCCGGCTAATTTTTTTGTACTTTGTGTAGAGATGGGGTTTCACCATGTTGCGCAGGCTGGTCTCGAACTCCTGGGCTCAAGCAATCTGCCCACCCTTGGCCTCCCAAAGTGCTGAGATTTGTATTGCCTCCTATAACAGCCTCCTATGGTAAGATATCTGCCAGAGTCACAAGCCCTCCCAGGTGTTAGAGGGTTCACGGCCCCCTCTCTCAGCTGGGGGAGTGCCAAAGCCACACCATGAGAGCAACATGGATGGCAGACATCGCTGTGGCCAGCTTTGGGAATTACAGTCCACCATGCTGACTGTCAAGGAAATGGGCCTGCTCATGAGTTTTCAAAATGAGGAATGGGGTGCAACCATTTACTCATGACAATATCCGGAAGGATTATCTTGTGGCTTTCACAACATTTACTCAAGTATAGCTTGGCAACAGTCAGCCTGAATTATCACTTCAGGTCAAAATATTGCACTGTATTAGGCTGCAATGATCATGTCTCTCATTTCAAACCTGTAATTATAGAAAATTTTAAATACACAAAAGTAAAGAGAAGAGGACAGTAAACTCCCCAATTCCTACTACCCAGCTCCAACAATCAGCAGTTCAGAGTTGACTTTGTTTCCTCTATACCTTCACTCTTACTTCATGTTCATCTCATTTTACTTTGAAGAAAATCTCAGACATCGAATCATGAAATATCACCATTTTTAAGTTAAGAATTAGCTATCAGAGTTCCTTAACTGTTGCTCAATCTTGAGCACGTGGCTCTATCACCAAGAATTTCACTCTTTCCTAGCACTGGAGGACTTTCTTTGATCATAAGGTAAAATCA